TTTCACAGACGAAATAAAGCCATACAGGCTTGAAACAACATGAGGGTGAGTACATGATGGCAGAATTGTCTTTTTTGTGTGAACAAACAGTTTATTAATGATCTCGGATTTGCCAAATGTGAGACTAAGAGTTCAAAGTTTGGTTGCTCAGCATGACCCTCTAAGCTCCTGCTGGAAGAAAATGTAATTACGCCATTCTGCCAGCAAATGTGAATCTTGCCGTGTGTGTTTGCACAAAATAAATAAATACATATATAAATATATAAAACTTACTGCCTATGAGCAAAGACAATAGATTTAAAACCTCATATTTCCAGGGAGTCATGTGCCAGAAGAGAAAGTGGCATTGAAGCAAATGGAAAAAATAACAGACCTGTTTTCTCCAGGTATTATAGAAAACCCTTAAACGTAAAAAAACTTGAAAACATCCTAAACCAGTTTATGATCGTGTGCTTGTGATTGAGCCTGTGGCAGTTTGGATGAGACCTTGACACCTTGGCTCTACCTCACAATCACTACTGCACATGTCCACATGATACCACATGACGTCATCAGCACAAGTTGACAGCGGCCATTTCTGGGACATTTTAGCTTAATTTTTCTAAAATGGAAGGATATAGAGATGCAATGTCCATCTTTTTTTACAGTCTATGTTCTGAACACAACACAAAATCACTCTAATGATTAAAACTGACCTGTCACCCTGTTCCAGAACTCCTGCTGCTGTGACAGAGACAAGCATCTTTAGTAATCTTATCTATTTTACAGTATATACTCTGATGGAGAAACCTTACCTCACTGCATCAAACTTGTTTCGAAAAACCATTTATGGGATTCATGTTGTGTCCCCAGGTTTCAAAGTTAACTTGTTCAGTGGTCCAAAGACATACTGCAAATTTCATTATATAAACTGAGAGCTATACTGCATACTTCCCAGCAGGTAAAAATCACATAAAAAAAGCTAAATTGATTTTGGGGTTAACCAACCTCTCACAATGCAATAAGGCACTAAAGAAAGTTTTTGCAAGTATTACAAGTACTTACGTAGATGAAATTACTTTCATAGCACTGCTCTCTGTTTCTTCATTCCTCTGGCCATAGGGATAGGCTACTGCATCTGATTAATATTCTCAGCTAGATTCAAATGTCATACTTTTCACATTTTTTGAACTTCAACATGCTTATTCAAAATGTATGGATCTAATAAAAACAGAAAATATTAAATAAACAAATCAAGAAAAAGAGAGTTGGAGCTGCCATAAACAACTGGAAAGATAACTAACTTTCCATGTTTAAAGATTTCAATCAAAACAGATCAAATACCACATACTATAAACCTTACACTACTGTTCAAAAGTTTAGGGTCTGTACATTTAAAAAAAATAAAAAAATTCTGAAAAAAAAAAAGATTTCTGAAGCCTCATGTGACACTGAATCAGTAAAAATACAATACAATAAAAATAAAAATATTTCAAAATATTACTGCTTTTGCTATATTTGTGATCAATTAAATGCAGGCTTGATAAGCATCTTCTTCCACACACAAAACTTACAGACCTCAAACTTTTGAACTGTGGTGTACTGTATATACAATTTCTATTTTGCTAAATCATTAAAAAATGTCAGAAAATTATTATCATACACACACAAATCCATACAGCTTCCCTTTGGCTGCTTTGTTTAGTGAATTATAATTCAGCATAGAATGATAAAGCAGATTAAGTGTAAAAGTGGTCCTTCTCCCTAAAAGAATGGGAGGTTTCTCTCTTCTGAGTGATACATACAGTACAGACACACTTGAACGTGATATTATGTTAAGTCCCCCGCAACTGCGTTTTTGTGAACCATGCAGAAAGGGGTAAATTCAACCAAACATAAGGAATACCTAAAAAATCATTAAAGAACCAATCTTAAATAAACATCACAGTATGAATAATGTGCCAGGCGCCTCTGAGAGCTGGTGTGAGGTGAATAAACATCCCTAAATGAACATCAGAGCTGAATAACCTCTATTCATCGGCAGATCAAACCTTCTTCCTCTTTTCAGCAGCACTACCTCCCTGACTGTAGACTTTCTTTGGGCTTCATACCCGTCACAAGCCTCTAGACGACCCTTCTTTGATGAATTATTTCACTTAATGGAATAAAGACATCAACCATTATTAGGTTTAAGCTAGCTGACGCCAGAGTTTCACTTGCACACATGTGGCACACAGTCCAGGATGCCTAAATCAAGCTGATCCTATTCTCGCCGATGGCATTAGTGCCTCACTTTAAAACAAATTAAAACAATGTGAGCCAGTGAGGCCAGGCACAGAATGGGATTTGTCCTAAAAAAAACTTAGTGCTATCATGAGTATGAATCCTATTTGGAAAAAAAAAAAAGGGGAGGGGAGGGGGAAAATCAGGTAATGCTATTTATCTCGCCAAAGAAACTAATGTTCCTTCGCAAGCTGGGATAAAAATAACAGACTCATTGAGTGCCTATGTGCTCAGTGCCTTGGAGGGACTCTAATGCATTTTCATTTAGACCAAGCTCAGATGTTATTAGAACCGACTCTCTCCATCTTCATTTCACTGTGATCTCAAGGCCAAAGCAGACAAAGTGGGCCATTCTAGTAGTCCTCTTAAAAATCCTTTAGACAGAAAACAGCGAAAGGCAGATATACTGAAGCATAGTTGAAATCACTGTTATCATGGCATCAAAGTCTTGCATCTAATTTGTGTATTAGACGCATATTTGTTTCTACCTCATAAAGGCCATTGGTTTTAAAATTGTAAAAAAAACTGTAAAAAGATCTGGGAGGATTCAGACATAATTTTTAATTAAATTAGATTGCACAATTATTCTGTATCCAGTTGCTGGTTTTGATCAAAGTAGGGTTTCAGCAAGTGCTGTAGCTGCTCAATGAATGAAACACAGCATCAATATTTAAATACAGCAAAGAGTCTATTTTTCAGATACAGAAAAATAGAATCACTCACTCACAAAAATAAAAAAGCAGATTCAGGTCTTTTAACAGCAGGGTTTGTTTTATAAAATATGGTCCTGCTCTGATGTTTCCATATTCAAAACAATCTAAAGATCTGAAGTTAAATAGTGAAAGTTGGTCAAAATCTTCAGTGAACCCGATCATAGGACTGTGCAGTATGACGATTTATACCACGTGACGCACGGCTATGAATGACAACTGACTGCATCCAATATTTCTAGATTCTTCTATAGTGTGATGTATAATCGAATGAATAGATTACTGAAAAAAACAAAACAGAAAAAACATCTGCCCATTGGACAACCTTATTGCTTTGCCCACACACAGTTATACACATCATCAGAGAAGAGATGTCATTGTGAAGGGAAGCATATGTTAATATGTTTAAAGGGATGGTTGACTGGTTTTGTTCTAGGCTTGATTGTGTTTATGGGATGCAGTCTAACATGAGTTCATGCTTCGTTTTTTAAAAAACGATTTTATTTTTCTCATTATACTCATTATTTTTCACATAATTTACCTTTATTCTTCACCGCTCTGTGCTTTCTCTGATAAACGCGCTGATCATTTCCTGCTTTTATGAAGCCCCTCCCTCAGAAATACGCTATGGACTCTGACTGGTTAGCTAGTCCAGTGTGTTGTGATTGGCTAAACCGCATCTGGTGCGCGTCTAATTGTCCCGCCCCTCACCTCAGCGGCATGTGCTCCGGTTGTATTGTAAACAATGGCAACGTCTATTTCGCTTATCAATTTGAGCCCGATTGAGACGCAGATGATATTAGTGAAGAGGATCATGCAGAACCTGTGCAAGCGCAGCTTTTAATGGTATGCTTGTTTGTTGTTGTCTCATACTTTTAGATATGCTGTTATTTGTAAATGCTACTGCTTCTGTTAGATTTTAATATACAGTACGGCAACTGCACACGCTTCCATGTATAACGCTTCTCATAGCTATGTGAAAATAAGTGTATAAATGGAACAGAGCTGAGCTGATGATCTGAATGAGAGAGAGAGAGAGAGAGAGAAAGATGCAGAGCGTGTGCAGAGCACGGGATGCGAGGAACATTATTAAGAACCGCTGCTTTAGAACATTGATTTTGAAACTTGTGAATCCATTAGAATCACTAGAAGACAGAATCGTGATTCATATATGAATAGATTTTTACGTGCACCTCTAGTTTTCTCTTCCTCTTCTCTAAAGCAGCGCAGCATGGCCTCACCCCCTTCGTTGCGTGTTCCCGGGAGCAGGGTTTATCAGGGTTTGTGACATCACGAACCCCGGAAAGTAACTCGTTGTAGTCCCTACCAGCTGTTTTTGTAGGCATTAAACTGCCATAATTTTAAAAGACGATATCTCCGTTTGCATTGAACTTTCAACTTCGTAACTTTGCAGATATTGTTTATGCTCAAACAGCAACATTACACACAAACTAACGTTAAAAAAGTGAAATCGCAATCAACCACCCCTTTAATTAAAGACTATGGGGGCATGTGTTCAAAAAATATATCATAAAATGATGATCACGGACAAATCATTAATAATAAACACTGCAACATAAGTTAAGAAAATCAGAAATATCTATTTTGATTTCATGCTGACTGAGACTGCTTTACATTATTTCGAATGAGGGCAACAAAGAAACATGGGAGTCCCAAAGAAATCAAGAAGAAGAGGTACTGCTTTGTGTGGCTCATCCAGTCAGAACTATACATTTATTATTATTAGTTTTATAGTTTTGAGTGTTTCTATTTTACATGAAGTGAAATGTTGAAATGAAAGATAGGTCTTGGAAAATTATGAAGAGCCTTATATTTTGGTCTGCGCCCAAGTCCCAAGTCCCAAATACAAAAACAAAAACAAAAAAAGTAATTTTGTGAAGTATTTAATTTACCGAATTGTCCAATAATAGGGATTATCAAATGGTTTTGTATTGCATCAACCATCAGGTACTGATGTAACCTGTAACCTTGATTAGCAATGCTGGTTCATAAGGGAAGTGTTCTTACCTTGAAGTTGCATATACATGTTATTATGTCCCCAATTCTGAGACACTCGCCATCAAACTTGCAAGTGTTGGTGTCACAAAGGAAGAGATCTGTGTCCCGGTCATCATCCCCTGCAACAACAAGAGCCAAAAAACATAATGAATTTCAGCATAAACACAGAAGTCTCAAGACACAACCAGCACAAGCAGGATAATGTTTTTTTTAAACACTTCGGATAAAACAAATTCAGCAGAACTAATGGAACAAACACATGATCCAGCAGGCAGGCTGGCAGGGCCTCTGAAGGGTTCATCAAGTTCTCACCTACCTTCTCACCTCCTCTCCAAGACCATATTTTGCTCTTGAGACATTTTCTTATTGGGAATAAAACAAGTGCTCATGGAGGAATAATGATTCAGCACATGGTGAACTTCTTGGAATCACCGCATGAGAACCTTATTCAGCTTTCAAAATAAGCTGAGTACAGGCTCTGATAAATATTCCTATTTTGCTGAGGAGCCGGACAAACTCAGAAAAATCACACTTCATCAAAAATCAAGAGCTTGCAGACAGTTTAAGTCCACAAGGATTCCTTAAGATGATTACAATTAAGATGACTTGTTTCCAAAAACAGGCCACCGCTGAGTCAAAACCTCATTTTACTATTCAGCGTACAAAAGCTGACTGCTGTACATTTAACAATTATTCTTCCAAAATAATGAGTTTACCCATTAGGCACTACATCATTCATCCCTTATCTTATACCTTTTATAATTATGCAAGAAATAAGCAACTCTATCATTTGCTTAATATTATACAAATGACACAAACTTTACACAAAGAATAATATCTCATGTTACATTCCATATTACCCGCATATATTTCGACTCAAAGCGCCATATATCATCATAATAAGACTACACGACACAAAACAGTGGGTCTGCTCATGTGTCCTGGGATTTTTGCTGTCAAAGCAAATAAGCTTCTCGCAAGTGCTACACAGTATTTTTACCCTGTGTTATCCGGTGAGGCCCGGAAGCTAGAATGAACCAGAGCATTGCTCATTGTAACGACAACACCAGAGGACATGGAGCTACTTTAGGCCCATGCTAAAGGGCCACATACAGCGCAGAAATATGTCTTACATAACCTTGTGGCTTATTTGTATTTCAGCTAAAAATTATCAATGGACCTTAAAAGCTACAGGGGGGCAAAAAAAAAAAAAACAGTAGTCTTGCGGGACAGTTGTAATATTCACATTGTGATCCTCAGTTCTGGAGACCTTGAGAAATTATGCTGGCTCTTGGTTTGTGCATAAATCCCTCGTGTAAAATTAGTAGCTGTTCACGCTTTGCAGCAGGAATATTTCATTAAAATTCATCTTGTTCACAATCTGTTCTTAAGGAGCTGTGATAAACTGACATTCAATCAATTCAGCCTAAAGCAACAAATGCTAGTCAGAGTATTTGCCAAAGCTAATTAGTCAAAACCATTGTCAATCCCTTGGCTTACTGATAAAATAAGAATGCATGCCTTAAGTTAAGTCTAATACTTCTTACACAAATAATTTTCCTTGCATTCATTCTTCCCATATTTTGAGGCAGCATCAGTAGAAGTCCTAGCTCACTTTGTGCCTTAAAGGCATAGTTCACAAAAAAAAAATTGTGATCCTTTACTCACACTTATGTTGTTAATGTATGACTTACTTTCTTCTGTGGAACACAAAAGAAGATATTCTGAAGAATGTTTTTGTACAAACATCCTTAGACCCCAATGACTTTCACTGTATATAGACTAAAAACACTGAGAAATGGAATTCTTCTTTTTACCAACAACGATTATTTAAAATCCACTTGGCTCACAAATCTAATGTGACACATTGCTCTTTGGTTAGAGCGGGCATGATGCATCTGCTTGCATTATTGATGCAAGCACTCCCTCTGCGAAGGCATACAGATGCAAAGCATTTTGTCACACCTCTACTGCTTGGCTGCCCTTTCATAGCTGTGTCATAATACAGTTTGACCTCGCGACACAGGTAGATGCATTTGAGTGCATGTCTGAAACGTGCAGTATTGAACAAGGCACTTGGCAACAGGAGCAGGAGGGGGAAATTATATAATGGATCAGAGAGGAACATGGATATCTGAGTCACAGGAGCTTTTCTCTCACCAGACACAAAATCCCTCTATTCAGTCTAATTAATCTGAAGAAGTGGCACCCTGTAGTGACACTGAAAAAACACATTCCATTAAAAAAACAACACATGAGGTGCCACCATTTCAGAAACTGTAAGATAAACACCAACCGACCTTGAAAAGATATATTCTAACACACACACACACACACACACACACACACACACAGAGAGGTATTCCTATCATTATGGTGACATTCTATAGGCATAATGGTTTTTCTACTCATAAACCGTATTTTCTATCCCCTTACTCTAACCCTACCCCAAGACAATACATTATTCAACAGTCAGGACCAGTGTTTACCAACCTTTTTTATCTCCCGAACCTTCACAGCCACACAAGTAATTTCAATTACCCTTTCATCAACAACAAACCAGAAATGTGTTCCCTTTACCACATATTGTAGTTTATATTATTATTATTATTATACAAAACTGGTTTCACACAAAATAAGGTCTCAGTGTTTTTGTCCATACAATGTAAGTTGTTTTGGACCCCACTGACATTCATTGTATGGACAGTTATCTTTTTATGTTCCACAAAAGAAGTAGTCATAGCAGTTTTGGAATTATTATTATTTAGTTTTTTTAGGTGGTGAACTACGTATCCCTTACGTAACCCTTAAGAAACTTCTGATGTACTCGTTGAGGTCCACATTCTCCTGGTCTAGACCATCAAATAAAGTTCAAAGCCATATAAGGTTAGGACAGGAAAGCAAAAACAGAGATTGAGGAAAGTTATCAGGTCACGCTAGAGGAAATGAGTTCTGGAAACAGGCAGCGGCATCCTTGCAATTTTATTACGGTAATTTCTTCATCAAGGACACTGAAAGCCCTCTAAATGCTTAACAAGATTTTAAACTTAACCAAAACATCAGTCAGATAATTCGATTAACTGTAAATACGCTTTTAGAAGTCTGTTAAAAATGCTTTTTGAGCAGGGCTGAGTTACCATGAGCGGAAAGGAATTTTGTTCTGCTCTCTTTAAAGTCTCTCTGGTAGGACAATCTTTCAGTAGCTGTCTACATGGAGAGATACGATCTGTTTTCCTTTTCTTTGTGAAGAAAGCACTGTATGTGTATGGACAACAAGGGAGTAAAAAAAAAAAACATCCTGAAAATTTCAATAAGAATTCCTCAAAGTCATTCCTTGAAGTCACAAAGCAATGATTAGAGCAGCCAAACAGGAAATTACATCTTTCATCCTAAGATGCTCTACTATCTGACGGCCCACAAAAACAAGTTAAAGCAAACTCTTCCTGAATCCAAAATAGACTTTCTCTAAGTACGAACACAGTTCAGTTTAAACACAGGACTCTTATGAACTTCAAGGTATGTGTATATGAAAAAGTGATGTGCAAACAGTCTGCACGGCCATAAATAAGATAACAGTTGATGCATAACTATCCACAACAATGATTTGCAGAGTCGATTCTTTTGGAGCTGTCACTAGCCAGGCAAACACTATATTTCACCTCCCAACAAACATCCTTATACTGACATCAAAACATACTGGAACACATTACATTTAGTACAAAACATAATACAGATGTAAAGGAAGGTTATAGAATTTATTGTATTCCTGAAGCATTAAACAAATACTAGAATCCTCTTTCAAAAATAAGATTCAAATTAAAGGTGCACTGAAAAACGCTTCTGACCACAGTGTCATACCGAGTCCCAAAACACTTGCTGCCAATCAGCAGTAAGGGGCGTGTCTAGTGATGATAGGGAGAAGAGAGTGCTCAGTGAGAGCACAGGATGGATATTAGCAGATCGAGAGATGGCAGATAATAAAAAATAAAACGGGAAATTTCAGAGGAACAAAACATTAAAAAGAAGGGTAGGACCCACATAAATATTGGAGCAGCTTTCCAGTGGTGGAGAGGACTCAAGGAGTTGGAAGGCCTGGAATCAGATGCCGAGGTTGCTTTGTTTCTTCTTGATAGGTGAGTTACGTTGATTTTGCTTTGTTTCACACAACTAATCTGTGTTGGCTTTTGCTTGAATACGCTTAGCTGGCAGGCATAGCAGATTCCGCCATCTCTGCTGCCAGGGTTGTGTACGTACATGTGGGGCGGAGTTATCAAAATAGGGGTGAGGTCCTGTTGGGCTATGGGCGTGTGTGTTTTGGTGCTTTCAAATATCAACATAACTTGGCAAAATTTGCTTAGCGCACCTTTAAATATAGAATTCTTTAATATTTTAAAATACAATTTAAAGGATATGTCTAATATATGTGCCACTAACATTACAAAATAAATAAATAAATAATAAAAATAAAAATGATTTCAATATTTTCTTCATCTGCCAATGGTCACAAAAACAGATAGTCTTGCTCCAACTCATGCCATTACTCTTTTTAGGAATAAGTTTGGAAAACAGTTGTCTGTGAACAATGATCCTCTTTAGGCAAAAATATTTTTAATCTAAAAAAATGCACACTTTAAAGTCTTTAAATTTACATCTATTTTGTAAATGCATGTTATGGATTTTTTTTTGTGAATGAGTGATTTGTGTATACTGTATGTTTCATTTTTATATTACTATACTGTATGATATATTAATAATATTATATATTTTTTACCTTATAATATTTAATAAAAATGTCATAATTCTATCTTCCAGTGAAATCAACAGAGTTCTCCCTGGTGATGTACAACAGACTTCTCCAGTCATTTAGGTTGCTTAAACTCTGCCTCAAAATCCAACCATCAACTGATGGATAGAACCAAGTCACACACATTTTTTTGTTGTTGATAATTTGTTGCACACAGATGTACGGTAAAATATGGAAGAAAATATCTGTTGCTACTTCTGTCTCATTGCAACTTTAAGACATCCTATATAAGGCCAAATATTTACATACTGCCTCGTATTCCCACCAAACAAGTCCGTTTAAGATTCTAAAGCAACAAATTCTATAAAGAACTTCATAATCAGTATAACCTTGGTAACCGCTTGTTTTTGGAGCAGCATAATTTGTCCTATGGCTTGGCCACTTTTGCATAATAGCTATTTAGTAGCTAATGGAAGGCAATTTAAAACAAATAGGTTAGTTACAGCTGTAGCTTTACAGTGACAAGGTGAAGGGCAGATTTAGTATAGAGAATGTGTGCAGAACTTCATAACTTACAAATACATATGAAGAACACAAGATTGTACTAATTAATAATTCCACCTCAAATATTATAATTAGCCAACAACATCCACTTCATCAGTTCTAACAGTCCTAATTAAGGGTATTGCTACCTCCAGCTGCATGTTTCTTCCTTCTGCAGTGAAATAGGAGACTTTGTTTGGCTCACACACCTGGTATTGCAGGTCTCCTAGCTCCTCAAGAGTGTCGTAATTTTAACAAAACAAACGAGAAGTGTGAGCCAATGTTATGTCTCACAGTGTGCCAAACAAGAGAGTATCGGGGGAGATGCAGATTGTTATTTCTGCCTTGCCAGCGAGGTGAATAATTGAAAGAAGCAAGCTGGCAGAGACACAAATATTCTAAAGGTGAAGTGCAGACAGCTCCAGTGAGTGAGACATCAGACCACTTGTCTGGCCATTAAAGAGCTGGATTTCAAACCTCAGGACATTGTTATCAGTTGAAAATGTTTTAGCTTTTGCTTGAGGTGTAATACAAAGCATCTGTTCAGAATTCTCTGCTCTTTAGAGACAGAGGAGTAGAACAAGTGCGTTTTGAAAAATCTGGATACTTTGTAACTAATGGCGCTTTTCCACTGCATGGTACAGCACGATACGGCTCGGTACGGTTCACTTTTGGGGGTTTTCCACTGGATACAGTACCTGGTACCTGATACTTTTTTTAGTACCAGCTCGGTTGAGGTTCCAAGTGAATCGCACCGTTACCAAAATATGACGTGTAAACTCTGCTGATCACGGATTGGCCGGAGAGAATCGTCACTACCTGTGTCATTGAACTTGAATGAACCGCTAGATTTAAATCAGCACAGCCAGCGAAGGATCGAACGCAACTGTTTTGAACAAGCGCACCTTTTTTAACAACCAAAAAGTGGCTGTTTTGTTGTCTTTTGAGGAAGTACAGATGTTCCTCTCGTTGACAGCAGAGGAGCGGATCCAGCGAGCTTGATGGGGCGACGCGGAATGAAAAAGTTTTTCAGGAGTCGCGGCAATAGAGGCGGCGCAACTATAACAACATGTGAATAATCCCGCCCACTCTAAAGCGGTACTGAACTGCACTCTTAAAAATAAAGGTGCTTCAAAAGGTTCTTCACAGGGATGCCATAGAAGAACCATTTTTGGTTCCATAAAGAACCATTCAGTCAAAGGTTCTTTAAAGAACCATCTCTTTCTTACCTTTTTATAATCTGAAGAACCTTCTTTCACCACAAAGAACCTTTTGTGAATCAGAAAGGTTCTTCAGATATTAAAGGTTCTTTATGGAACCATTTAGACAAAAAGGTTCTTCTATAGCATCGTGAAGCACCTTTAATTTTAAGAGTGTGCAGTGGAAACGTATTAAAGGTTCTTTATGGAACCATTTAGACAAAAATGTTCTTCTATAGCATCGTGAAGCACCTTTAATTTTAAGAGTGTGCAGTGGAAACACGAGCCGAGCCGTGCCCTGTTGTACCGTACTGAGCCGTGCCGAGCCGAGTCGTACCACGCAGTGGAAAAATGCCATTATTTGAAAATACTCTAACAAACATCTAACAGACAGCAAAGGTTCAAAGAGATAGTTCACCAAAAAATGAAAATTCTATCATTTACTATCCTTTTGCTGCTCCAAACCAGTATAACTTTTGTGAAACACTACGCTATGGTCTAAACAACATTGACTTTCATTGTACACTCTCAGAAAAAAAGGTACAAAAGTTGTCACTGGGGCGGTACCTTTTCAAAAGGCACACCTTTGTACCTAAAGAGCCCTTATTGGTACCTTAAAGGTACATATTAGTGCCTAAAAGGTACATATTAGTACCTAAAAGGTACAAAAGTGCACCTTTTGAAAAGGTACCGCCCCAGTGACAGCTGTTGTACCTTTTTTTCTGAGAGTTTACGGACAAAAAACACTGACATTAAAAAAAATAATAATAATAATAAAAAAACAAACAAATGAAATATCCCTTTAAGACTTTAATTGAACAACCAAAAACTGGCAGTTTATGTTGTTGTCTCTTCACATTCAAAAAGTCTGCTGTCCCCTCTCGCCTCCTTTGCAGCTGATATGCAAAAGTCCACAGTGAGCCAGCAGAGCAAAAACTCTCCAAAGGAAAGCTATTGACAATGAACAATACAAATAAAAGCTTATGGCCCTTTGGGCAGTGACTTACTTTTGAGGCAGTAGCTACATAAAATTGATACAAAAAAGCTTACAGAGTTGACTCTGAATTCTAATAATGAACAGAGAAGATACTTCAGTAATAAGGCATTTACTTTGTCCACTGCCAATGCCCTTAGTTTAGGATTGTTGACTAAACAGCTGGTTTGCATTTGTTTTGCTGTGTTCAGCACATAATTCTGTGCTGGGGATTTAAACGATATTCAGTCAGTAGGAAATTCAGGTTTTATACCATAACGCTGCAGGTTCCTCTCTTATGTTTAAAAAAATTTTTTTTTTAACTTCAGACCTAATAAATGCAATGCAATGTCCAAATGTATAGCCATTCTGTTTGCTGTGTGCACTAATTCAGCAATAATGTAAAGGAACTGTTAACCTAAAAAATTTAAATCCTGTAAATGAGTTCCAAAACAACATGACACCACTGACTTTCATAAAACAAACCAAATAAAAAACTTTTTCAATATATATATATATATATATATATATATATATATATATATATATATATATATATATATATATATATCACAATTGGTGGCTGACTAAATACTTTTTTCCCCCACTGTATATATATATATATATATATATATATATATATATATATACAGAAGAAAGAATTGTTTGTCAATGTGCTAACAGCTGTTTGAATAACTGTCACTAAGTGCTTTTAAATGGCACCCCTGACAATCTGATTATAAGCTATTAAAAACTCACTTTATAATAATTCCAAACACTGGCCACACCTGTTTGAATAGATCATTAGCTGTAAACCTGTTTGATTCTGGCAATTAGTGTTATGTTTTTTTAGTCTGCACTGGTTGTATGACTGCATTTGTCAGGATTTACTAGGAAAATTCATCATATATTATCAACACCTTTTTGTAAATCATCTAAAGTGGCCTTCAGGCATGCCTGTGGTAGAGCTTCCCACGTCTCGTGCATGCCATTGCCATGAGTTGTATAACCAAAGTGCAAGCAAGAGGCAAGGATAGACGTTTTGGAACGACACCTAATTGCCCACGGTGACCTGCTGATTGATAGTGAGGCGCCACGGCGGGAAACTGAGCAGAAATATGCGGCGAGTTCCGAGCCTCTCTCGAGCCTCAGGGCGCGCATGATGATTATTTCACGTGCATCCGCCATCATCTGAACGGCGCTGTGACTGTGAGGGTGAGAGGACGCCGCAATCCAAATCAAAACCCGCTTAATATCCGAGTCTACAACGGACTGATGCTCGAGACTACTATGCCGGCTTGATGGAATTGTTGCCAAGAAAAGCATGGCTTCTAAAAGGATTCTTACACGTGCATTCTTCAAAACTGAAACCTTTTAAACTTGACCAAAATATCGCCACTTGTTCACTCGCTTAAGTGTAAAATATGTCCAATTCAAGGTAAAACGTATTTTTTTCAATATAAATTATGACGTTAAAATCAATTTATTTAACGATATCCTCTATTGATGTAGTATTAGAAGGGATGTGAGGGACCGTATGCTTGTCTTTTTTCAAAAAGAAAGATATAAATACGAGTTTTAGGTAAATGCGCAAAGTAGGCTACACATTGTTCCAAACATGAAAATAAAGAGCAAAAGTTAATTTCCTCAGAAACTTCACAGGTAATTTACACAGAATGACCACAAGAGCCGTTTTTCTGGCCACATATTTTCATATTTTGATAATCTTCCTGTTTCTTCAGGTCTCCAGCGGTGCAAGTCTTTCTTTTGAACGCACTGAACCTAGAAAAACAGGTCAATTGATGTAGGAAATGTGGTATCAGCGACAGTTCGTAGACTAAACACGGTTTCATAAGTGCGAACAAAAACGAGCCATTTAAGCAGCAAGAAAAACAATAATCTGAAAACAATAACAGTTGACAGTTTATTGCGGCGAATAATAACGATTATAGACCGACTGGCCTATGCTACTCTCATTTGAGGAGGCGAATAGCTAATTGAGTGGGAGAAAACTGTTCATTTTTGTTCCAATGAAAATATAATTATTTACATATCGCTTGAGAGTTAAAAAGACGGTTAGTAGGACAGAAATAAACTATTTACGCGGTAACGCAACAAAGCTCATAACTAAAACAGGTCTTCAGCATTTTTTCAGCAGCAGTGAACTGCTAAAGCTTTCATCACCACACATCCATAACTTATGCTACTTGTATGACAAACAGCCGTTTTCCGTTGCCAAGGGAACGTCAACCCTTATTCTCTTCAATGCAAGGAGCAGCGGACTTCTTGAACATCTTACCCGAGCAATTCCATCCAGTTGGAGTCTGACAGTCGCTGAGAGAGGACGGGAAAGCGCCAAGTTGTTGCACCGGGAAAGTGGCGAGAAAGGACAAGACTGCAATCCATACCCAGTGACCCACTATGCGGCTCCACTGGTGAGGACTTCGGGGCTCATGTAGGGCCGCCGTCACCGTGACACCCATCTCAGTTCCCCCGACACTGCTCACAGACGCGCAACGCCAGCCCTGGTCTTGATGTTGTCAACTTTGCCGGTGCGCTTAGAAGCCAAGAGAGGGACATTTTCCGACGGAAGGAGTGTGCCCCATGAAGCAGTTGTTTCTGGATGACCAGAGCGAAGATCCGCCCGAAGCGAGAGGGTGCAGATGCGGAATGAGAGAGGTCTGGGTGCGATGGACAGGGGAGGGATGGTATCGGGCGGGACGTGGGTAAGCGAGATGTTCAAAAAGCAAGGCAAAAATCAAAAGACGAGAGGGGTGTTTTTAAAAAACCGAAATGGGGCACAAAATCATATATCCCATTTGAGTGACATGCCGAAGTTACAACATCCACTGAAGCGCTGCTTAGAGAGATTGTCCTCCGTCCTCAGTCCGTGCGCTCGCGGGGAGCCGTGAGTTTGTCAGAGTCTCGCGAAGAGCCATTCTTCTGTAGCCTACCTGTGAACCACAATAACGCACTGAAGGCGAGCGGCAGGTTTCCAGACCGCTTCGGATCACGTGTTCTCAAGGAACCGGGAGGGGCGGGACGATGCCGCGGCTCTGATTGGTCGAGAGGGATGCAGGAGTGTCAGGAGCGAGGCGATGGTCCAGCTCGAGCATATCGACGGCCAGTGCACAATAGTGTACCCTGCAGTCAACTTTAGCAGGGCTTTGGTTTTTAAACGCGTGGGCGAAGGGCCATGCCGAGAAAGTCTTCTCAGTAATTGAGCACTGCTGCTCTGAGCACGATGGCAGCAGAAATCGATTGGAAACTTGCAGTGTTGTGAAATGATCCCCGTATCCTAAACAAAAGATTTACAGCATTAGATGAGAGAACCGAGGGACGAGTTCACGACTGTCTGCGTGTAAGACGCTAGTGGATAATCTCGGCGGTGGAAATGGATATGCAGAGACGCTTTAATGGATACAGGTCGCGAGCTGAGCATTAGAGATGGCTTTTTAACGACATTTAATGACGCAACATGTCTCAGAAAAGCTATTTTCGCAAGGTGTATCGACGATGATAAAAAAGCAAGCACATTTCATGTTATCGACTTACACAAAGTACAGCTGATCTCTTAATCAGTCCAATAACGTAGGCTACTATGCGTGTTGTTGCACCCTAATACAGGACTATACAAGAAACCTGAATACCTGAGCAAACTTGAACGGAGTGCAACAAATTGTTTTTTTAAATATAAGATCTACTGTGTCTTATTTATTTCTTGCTGATTCTTAGAGGTAAAGTTAAAGACTAACCCCCAGAGAGAGGCACAGGGAGAAAGGCACAACATATTTGTACCCTTATGCCTCATTTAAAATGTGACATTATATAACAAAACATCACAACAAACACATTTATCAAAAAAGAAACTTGAAGAAAGCATTTGTGACTGAGACGTGTGTTTGCAGCCAATTATTTGTAAAACGTTTTCTATTCTGAAATAGCCAGCTGAATAAAGGATTTTTAATAACTTTTGAAGTGTGCCTTGGATAGACGCCCACCACCCCATATAGTATTTCGTTTGAAGTGTGTCTGTACACAGGCAGTTTTTAAGCAAAAGATTTAAAAACGTTGATTGATCATAGATTTATAGATGCTATGTTTGATATTTTGTTATTTCATGCAATTACATGTGTTTATGGTGCTTAACCTAAACCTTCGTGGTTTAGGTTTGGTTACAAGACAAAGGAGAACCGGAGGCGTTTGATGTTACTGACGCCAAACCTATGGAAGGCAATTTCATGTAGAATGTTTTTTTTTGTGGTGTTTTTAGTCCTTACAGGTTTGGAGGTACAACATTTTCATCTTTGGGCGAATTCTTCTTTTCCCAGAGCTTTTTAACTCGCTGGCCTTTATGAAAACGAATACTCTATAATAATTTTTTTTTACTAATGTAATTCATTCTGAAAGCTGTTTTGAGTGCAGAATAAATGATGACAACATGCTGACATGACTCATCTATTCATCTAAATTCATGTCAGCAAATAAAAAAGATGAACAAACTCAAATCTTTATTTATTTATTTTTTAGAAATGTTGTCATACAGTATGTGTTTCCCAATAAGACGTCTTTAGTTACTTGCATGTTTTCTCTTTAAGTGAAGAGCACATTTGGAAAAAAGGTTTGAAACCTATTGCTTGAACAGTATAAAGTTGGACTTCTGGGCATGTCCTCGAGATAAATTACGATATACTCTCCACTGTTCATTTCACTACTACCTGATCATTCCCACATTTCTCCTGGAGTCTGGCTCCATACCAGCTCAGAATTATTAGCACGGTTCAGAGCTCCTCTGGAGAGCAGCTGGCTCTAGGCTATCACCGGCAGACACTCTTGACAGATAAAACAACACACCCTTGCCATAGGATTTCTGTAGTTTTCTCAATGCGGTATCGTGTATCACATGATGGATCTGACCTTGTAATTACCACGATGGAACATTAATTAATCATTCAGTTTTGTAGGAGACATGGGAAGGTTCATGTCCTTTATAGGACCTGTTCAGAAATAGGAAGAAAACTGATAAGAGATACTCAAACCAACAGCAATGTTAAAAAGGGGAGTTTTGAATGACTATATTGCACTTTTATGACAATTATTTCATTGGAGTTGAGACCTGACATCTTTATTGCTATTAGAGCCATATGACATTAAACACCTTTAAAAAGGCGTCTTGGCAAGTCTCCCTCAGCTACTTTTAGTAATTTGATATAGCAAAAAATATTCAGGATCAATGAACACCAAGAATTCAACATTTTCAAAGGAATATATACGGTATAATGTGGGTTTAATTAAGCGTATGAACAAGTAATGGTGTCAAAGATAAAACAATAAATTAAATTTAGACTAAGCTTTCTTTAACCTGGACTTATTTCACAGTCCCATCCTCAGTATATTCTTCCCGTCACAGGTAAAAGCACATTTACTGTATTTGTGGGCCACTGTTCAGTCCCAGCATTGGTTTCTGCATTACAACTGTCCCCATTCCACCCAGTTAGATCCATACCTTTTTTAAATCATTTACATCACATCAAACATGTCATCTCTCACCCGGACTGGAAAAATCCCCTGTGGAACATACTTGGAGAGTTGACATGGCAACTGGAGCCTCATGGTTTCATTATATGTAAGTCTTTGCTGGAGTATGGTGAGCAGGGTAATGAGGAAGGCTGCCTGGGGACCGGTGAGAAGGTCACATCTCTGGAGGGAGCATGTGGTGTTTGAGTCTTCTAGCAGCATGGGATCTGTTAATGATGCAGGAGTTTTAAAATGCTCCCTTAAGTTCTACTGGTGCTTTGGTAGACCTGCTGAAAAGCTCTTCTCTTTATCTGTGCATGTAAAAAAATTTCAAGCATATCATGTTAATAAATTATGGATATTGATCTTCTTTGCATGGGATCATTTAAGAATGTATTTTCTGATATTACTCTATAAAATGTTAAATTCTTAAATTCATACCCAAGATGCCTGTAGTTTGGTATTATTAATAATTCCCATTAGAACAATAGCTCAGTAAAGGAAAATTGTAAATCACTCATTACATAACAATTGTGCCACAGGCATGCGATCTATATTCCATAGACTCTAAGTGAATAATGTAGTCATTTGGAGATATTTCTGAATTAATTGATTCGTTTTCACAGTTGAACTCCTGCTTCCAAGCTGAACAGTTTAAAAAAAAAAAACGTATTCCCTCATAATACAGTCGACCAGATGTTTTTGTTCTCTGCTGCTGGATATTGCACACACATTTCAGTACAGCTGTGGATTTTCTCAGCAGTAACACATTGATTGCTATCCTCCTCCTTGGACAGTCCAGACAAATGCTAAGGAAATGATATGTCTGGTTGGGGATATTTATGAATTCACTGATTTACTTCCACTTTTGACCTGCTCAATGCAACAAGCAAAACCAACTGTTGCCAAATTATTCTAGGACAAAAAAATTCACAGGGTTGTTGAATAGAATACAAGTTTGATATTAACTCTTATTAGTGATGTAACTAATATAAGCAATTAATTGGCTCAAAACAAACATTATTTACTATTTTTTGAGAGACCATCTTTCTGAAATATAAAGGCAGCTAGCTATATACATTTTCTGTATAAATATTTTCCAGTTAAAATGTTTCTTTCTATTATTAGGGTGACACTGCTTTTTATTCACAAATAGAGTAGTGAGGAGAAACATAAAACTACAGCTGGCTGTCATTTACATGTACAGTGGGTACGGAAAGTATTCAGACCCCCTTAAATTTTTCACTCTTTGTTACATTGCAGCCATTTGCTAAAATCATTTAAGTTAATTTTTTTTCCTCATTAATGTACACACAGCACCCCATATTGACAGAAAAACACAGAATTGTTGACATTTATGCAGATTTATGAGGTTACGTTAGTAACCGAGTACGTTCCCTTTCGATACTACACTCGTACTGTGTTTTGCTAGACACATATGGGAACACAGAGAAGTTAACAACAACCCAAGGCTAAGACGGGCTGAGCTTCCTGAGGTTCAGAGTACTCCTGTAACTTCGACATCCAGGGGTCGAGAGCTAACAGGTGAACTAATGCCAGAGCGCTTGAGCGTGATACGGCCAAGGGCTCCCTGCCAGATCTGTTTATGCAGCACATGTCACTTCAAGCGGAAAGGACCCTGGCCTGCAAGGCCGGGACTTCCAGGTTATAAAACCTTGCGAATGTGGACGGCGAGGCCCAGCCGGCCGCCTCACAAATATCCGCAATGGACACACCACTGGACCATGCCCAAGACGAGGCGATGCCTCTAGTCGAGTGGGCCCGTACTTCAATGGGGCATGAAGGCCCAAAGGAGAGTACGCTAACGAGATGGAGTCTACTATCCATCTAGAGAGACTTTGCTTCGTGACCGGAAGCCCTTTGGTGTGGTTACCGAAGCTGACAAAGAGTTGTTCCGACCTCTCTGTCCTCTTCAGAGGGAGGAAGCACGGAGAGTGTAATGACCTGTGCTCTGAACGGAGTGGAGAGCACCTTACGTATGTAACCATGCCTTGGTTTCAGGATGACTTAGTGTTGTTAGGCCCGAATTCCAGGCAGGCAGGGCTAATAGAGAGCGCATGCAGGTCCCCTATTCGCTTTACTGATGCCAGTGCTAGAAGCAGAGCAGTCTTCAGCGATAGCAACCTAATGTTGGCAGACTGTAGAGGCTCAAAAGCGGGGCCCTTCAGGGTCCTCAGCACAGTGGGCAGATCCCATGAAGGGACGGTAGGGGGACGAGGCAGATTCAGCCTCCTGGCACCCTTTAGGAAGCGGATGACCACGCTGTTTCTGCCCACCGATTGGCCCTCAATAGGGGCATGAGAGGCCGCTATAGCCGCCACATATACTTTGAGCGTGGATGGGGAGCGTCCCTTATCCAGCAGCTCTTGCAGAAATGACAATACCTCTGTCAAATCGGAAGTATGAGGGTCTTTGCCACAGT